ACCAAACTGTTCAGATGTTGAGAAAATCACAGACTGCCAACAACAACAAAGAACACCCACGGTAAGAAGCAGAAAGTATTGACACTTCACGGCAGTAATTTTTAAAGACAGTAAACAAAGGGAAGGCACTTCAGCTCTCACCTCCTCTTCCTGTGATCTTTTCTTATGAGCCATCTTGTAGAGTTTGTGTAGTTTCCTGGCATCAAATTCTGTGAATTTTGACACAAATATCCATAGGTTCCTAGAAGGACATGAATGTTTTCTGTTAATAGCTACACCAGCAGTGTATCTGCCAACTGCTTTCAAACCAAGGTCACATCAGTTCGACCTCTCTGAGAAAGTCTCAACCCAACTCAGGACAGGATGATCAGGAGAGCTGGAACCAAATTCTTCAAAACACAACAAACAAGTTTGCACTGGTTCATCTAAAATAGCTCTAAAATCAAGTTAAATGAAACCAGCACAACTTGCAGACAAACCCCTCACCTGGAACTGGTCATAGAAGACCATCCTTGGTAGAGTTCTAGGTCAGGCTGAATGGAACTCTTGAGTAACCTGGTCTAGTGGAAGGTACCCCTGCCCATGGCAGGGGGGTTAGAACTAGATGATCTTTAAGGTCCTTTCCAACCCAAACCATTCTGAGATTCTATGGACTGAGTTGGCCAGAGAACACAAGATTTCACAGGTTAAATAAAAGGCAAATGGCACACTCATCCACATAAAACCCAGCAGCCTCTGACTACCATTTCAAAATACCATAAACCAGCCAAGGAAAACAAAATGATTCCTCACCTTCTCCATAGCTTGATGTGATCCTGGTCAGTGTAGGCTTTAAGGCACTCAGAGATGCGATCACCAATTTTTAGGAGGCAGTTGCGTGTGTGCTCCAGCTGTTCTTGAACTGTCAGTCCCTTATCAGGCTTATCAAGTTGCTTCAGTGCTTTTTTGACTGGTCTCATCCTTTCCTTGCACTTGAAAAAGCAATAGAGAGTGATTAATTTGGCACAGAGCTCTACATTGTTCCCTTGTTAATCAGAGCTGGAAGAAGTTCATTAGCATGAGATATTAATTTTATTTGACCATTAGGCAAGGAGAAATCAGCTATAAAATAGCAATTTGTTAGGCATGCTGCAGACAACAGTCAGGAAAAGACAAGAGTGTCCCCACTTCCACTGTCCCTGTCTTTTAGAGGGGAGCAATTTGCTTTGCAAATCATAACACACATGGTCTGATGCTGCACAGATCCCACAGCAGGCAGCGAGGCATATCCAAGCATCCACACACTGAACCAGCAGCCCCAACTGAAGGACTGGTCACTCAATCCTGTTCATCCCCATCTGTGGTCACTTTAATGCTCACTTTTACCAAAACTGGCAGATGTGAGATGAAAGCACCAGCATTTTTGGCTGTGTGCATCAACACTGTGCACAGGCAGGAAATCAGACAGGTTTCTACTGCCTGACTGCACCTTTCAGGCATCACAGAAGGAAGTTAAAGAAACAGACAAAACTAACACAGGACCTGCAGCAAATACACAGATTTGCATTGAGAGAACTGGTTTTAAGAAGTGGTACTTCAGCCAAAAAGAATCTGCTACGACAACTTCTACTAAGAAGCTATTTTTACAACAAGCCTTGCAGGCATGTTTGTTGCAAGAGTATTTACACAGCTCCATACCTTCCAGAGCCATACAAGGTCACCCTCAAAACTCCCCTGCATTTCCCTGCCTGGAAAAGCCCCAGTGGGCTCCTTGGCTTCTACAGGAGAGGGTCTGCCAAGTAAGGCTGCGGGGTCTTCTGTAACCCAGGGCTGCCAAATGAGTGGTGGGAACTTAGCAGCTAAAGCAGAGTCCTTGTGCATGCTCTGCTGACATAGAATCATAGAATTTAAGGGTTGGAATGAACAATGCCATGGGCAGGGTAGGTAGGGTAGGCTACCAGTGGGTAGCACAGAGGCTGGTGGGAAGCTCTTGTCCAGGGTTGTCCTGCCCTGCTCAGATTGGCCAGAGGAAATCTCTGTGGGGCACTAGTAGGGGGTTCACACCCTGACACCTAAAACATGTCCTTGGATAACACCTAAGCAAACCCTAAGTGCCTTGCTGGGCTCTCTGCCACTGTCCTCCCATCTCCCAAGGAAAATACTCACTATGCTGAATGTTTCTTGGTCCAGATCATCATCCTCATCTTCTCCAATGGGGATCGGCTCACTCCCTGCAGTAATGTGCACAGGACCTTGTGATCTCTTCCCTTTACTTCCAGATTTGGCCTCACCACCTTTAGGCTTTACAAGGACAAATTACACACATCACACAATGAGCCAGACTGCAGGATCCCAACTGATCCAGCTAACAGCCTCCACACTATTGTTACTGGCAGTTGTTAAACCCTAGGCACCGCTCCTACAACTTTCCTCACAAGATCTCAAACTGTTGAGCTGCAATGGCTCTGTTTAGCTTTACATCATCCCTGAGGGAGCAGAAAGAAGTCAAAGCCAACAGCTTGGACATGAATACTATATTCACACTCATGGAGAGAAAACCAATGTTGAAGACTTGGAAGAGAGGTTAAGCTAAATAATCTATCTCCTTTGCAAAGGACAGAGCTCAGGGTAGTCTCACGTCTACAAGGATCTGTCACTAGTTCTAAAATTATGGCCTGTTAGTGTAAAGTTTTACTTACATGACTTATCTGCAGTCAAAGTAATACCAAAAATCACTGGAAAGCAAACTTTCCCCTACACACACAACAAAACCTCTTGGTTTGCACTTATGACCTCAGTGTCAAAACACACTGAGCATGCAGTACATACCTGTTCCTTGGACAGGTACTTCAGGTCATTGTTACTGAAGCTTTTACCCCCCCTTCCATTCTGAACTCAGCCTCAGGGCAGCAGTACCCAAAATGCAAGGGACATTTTAGTCTCCAGCATACCAGTGATGTTGAAATGTTCATTCTGGTGAGTCCTGAACAGTGACAATGACAACTTACAGTTTTGATGGTGTGGACAGTTGGGTCATTTGGGTGAGTTTAAATTAAAGGGGAACAAGAGACAAGGAGCTGCCAACCCTGTGATAAATCACAGCTGAACAGAACTTTGATCTGAGTGCTCCAGGCTCTTCCTCTGTTCTTCCTTAACATCAGCACCGTGGCCATATCACTGTCACAGGGACAGCTGTACTTGAAAGGCAGTCTGACAAAATCTCTTCCTTTCTGCTCACACTCCACCAAGCTTTAGGACATATTGCCTTTTCTGCCTTTTATGGCAATTCAGAAGGGCTGAAAAAGGGATAACACCTCACCACACAGTACTTCATTGATGTCTTTTCACACAGGGCCTTTAATGAATCCTGTCTCATAGCCTGTTCTTCTGCTCAGGGACTTTCCTATCAAACTGCCTCTGAGAGTAGCACATACCTTCTCTTTCTTGTCTTTTGTCTTCTTTTTCTCTTTATCACTTTCCTTTTCCTTCTTAGTGGATGTCTGCTTTTCCTTGTTCTCTTTGTTCTCTTTCTTCTTCTGTTTCTTTTTCACAGGGCTCTTGTCCAAGCCATCCTCCTAGAAAAATCAGTCACAGCACAAAGCTGGAGTCTCTCACCTCATGTACACTTTCTTCCATAAAACTTACATCCTTGAAACACAGGCAACTTTTGAGGTTCATCCAAATTTGCCCTCACACCTCTTTAAGCAGACAGGAAGCCCTGCTTAACCAGCTGCTACCCACCCAAGCTTGACGAAAGGGTATGAAAACCAGATGAGCCCCAATCTGTGACAAGCTGGCAAGCTGCAGATCAGCACTGCTTTCCTGTGCCAGCTGCGCTCCAGAATGCTCAGCCCCTGAGGTAGATACTGATCAGCATATGAACAAAAAGCCTTAGACAACAAGCCAAACCACTCAAAGACTGAACGTTTTCTAAGCAACAGCATGACCTTGGTAAACTCCAGTTTCACCACTGGCTGATGTGCTGAAAAGGAGAGGGAAACAGCTCTTCTTTCTCTCCTTTATAAGGGCAACAGGCTTTGTCCTGAGACAACCTTTCCTCCAAGTTAGCATGTGGATGTGTGTGGCTATTCTAGGATGCCCCAAAACACTTAAAGCACTGACCTAAAAGAATAGGTGGCAAAGGTCCTTCTTTCATCCTGACAGATGTATGTTTTTGTGAGTTTGCCAATCCTGTGGGAATGCACTCTGTAGTGCCTCCCAACCCTCCAAGGCTCTCCTGGGGATGCTTGTCAAGGCGAGTTTGGGTAGTAACAACACAGTTCAAGGAAAGCTGGAAAAGTCACTCTCCACCAGGTTGACTCACCTTGACTTCACCTTCTTCTGACTGGTTGTCTGAGTGCCGAGGAGAGGAGAGTTCATTCCCATGCTCATCTTTGACTTTGGGAGCCTTGTTCTCTTTCTTTACTCGTGGTTTCCTCTTCTTTAGCTTGCCCTGGTGAAAATACAGAACAAGTCAGGGCACGAAAATAGCTACAGGTACTTCCTGCAGACATATCCCATCTCCTGAACATCCTGGAAACAGCTGTAGGTCCTGCAGGATGGCAGGAAGCTTGATGGGCCTAAGTCCCTCAGTAATAATTACCTGCCCCATATTAATTAGCATTTCAGTATCACAACGCAATCACACAATAGACAAGTCCATATTCCTTCACATGGATGGTATTCAGTGACCTGGGAACACAGGTTGTCTCCCACCACCAGCCTAAAAACCCCAGAATCAAGCAGCCACATCTTACCTCTTCCCCATCTTTCATGTTTTCTTTCTTGTCTAGATCTTTCTTCAGCAGTTTCAGTAGATAATCAACTCGAGTCTGGAGCTGTTTTCCCTGAGGTTTCTTATCAGTCTCAACAGGTAGGATCTTTGATAAAGAAGAAAAAAAAATACATACACACATGCACAAAGCTTGACAAAACAGATGCACACTAACAGCAGTCCTTCCAGGCCCAGCAAAGGCCTGGAGATGCTGCACCTTCTGGAGGAACAAGAAAGCTTAAGCATTCCTTCCAACTCTCACACAGATTCTCCCTGTCTGGCCAACAGTGAAGCTCCTAGCAAGCAAGCATCCCTCCCCTTGGTCTTTTGCAGAAGTGAAAGGACTCCAAGGCAGCTCTGTGATCTTTCTTCAAGAAATAAGATCTTTTCTTGAAGGAAAAAAAAACCCTTTACAAACTATATTTGGGACCTCGACTTGCAAAACTGAGTTTGCTGTCCTTGATGCATCAGGTTTGTTTTTGACAGCCTTGTCACAGCAGGCTGGTCCCTCTGGTAACCTCAGACACTGCTACAGCAGTGATACAGATGCAGAATTTTTAGTGGAAAACAAGGCTGCAAGGTGTCACTTTATGAAGAAAGTACCTCAGCTTGTCAACTAGGTTAGCTCCATCCTCCATTGGAAAGTGGGTGGTGTGTCTCAAGCAGCTGTTTCCATTGTAAAATGCCTTTCTGAACCTCACGCATGAAAGGCTCTCAGCCACAGCCTGACCTTTGCTAAGAGCACTAGCAGGGATGTCCACAGATATGTAGCAGATTGGCATCAAAGCTGGTGTGGAGATTCCTGATGCTCCTCAGCCCTGTGCTGCAGTTAGCTCTTTCCATTGCGCTGACACAACGGATCGTGGCTTATATTTAACCCAGATCACTTCAACATGGCCCCTGTAAACAGCTCTTATGGGGATGACTGAGGACCAGAGGAACTAGATGGAGCCTTTCCAGCTGGCTGTGCTGCCATTCCCAGTCATATAACTATACCCTCAAAGCTAACACAGACCAGTTTTGACATAAGCAGTGTCAAATCTGTGAAAAATTATTTCCACACAGAAATTCAGACTCAGCTTCTTGTGAGATGCTCAAGGAAACATCAAGTCACCATTATGCAATGCAGCTAGTCCTGTGCATGTAACCACACATGTCAGCATTGCCATTTTCTTCCTGCATCGTTTCAGTGTGGCTCATGTGGTACTGTTCAGGGAAAATGTACTGCCCATCAAACAACACCACTCTGCTTTCCATCAGGCATGCAACATTCCATGAAGGTCACTGTTTTCCTCATTATTATTTATTATTATTTTTGGAGTAGTTACAAACATAAACATCTGTTTCTGGAGCAAATGAAACATGTTCCCTATGAACATGGACCCAATGGAAGCAGCAAGCAAAGCGACCTACCTTATCGGATAACTTCAATTCCGGATCTGTTTTAATTAGCTCCCAGTTTCCATAACCATGCTCGTAAATTCCCACTAACAAGCGAGAATCCTCCTCCACTCCCCAGTCTACATCAAAATGAGCAGCTTTGACACGGCACGTCAGGCGGTACCTAAAGGCATTTCAAACACGAGCTACTTTTAATGCTGTGGAGGATAAAGCAAATCCACATATCCAGGCTATTCTCTTTCCACTACAAAATCCAAATTCCCTGAGCCTCTTTCTGTGCTGCCTACTTAGCCAAACTCACTTCTTCCTTTCCTCTGGGTCCGTGGGAATGGATTTATGCAGCATTTCAAACTCCTCTTCATGCTGGATGATGGATTTCACATTGACTTGGACACCAGAAATCTTGATAGTAGGACCTCGTCTCTTTCCAGGTCCTTTCCCTGCTCAACAATAAAACACAGCAACTAAGCAGTGCCTCTGTAAAAATGGCTCCACAGACAGTGATCAAGACCTGGCCTGCAACCTCTTATTTAAACATAAGGCCCAAAGTATCAGTTTTCTTTCACTAACTTACTTAGATCTGCAATCCAAACACCTCCCAGTATCATTTCCTTACGAATATGTCTAAGTATGCAGGAGCTGTTGCTTCAGCAGTTTTGTTCAGCTGCAACAGGCACAGAACCAGCAGGAAATCCAGCCCTGACCCTGTATCTCCAAACTAACAGCACAGAACAGCCATACACAGAGTGGGTGATGATTCCAGCTCTGGGAAGTGCTAACTGTGGATCCAGGTTTACCATGGAGTACACAGGACCAGTTTGATTTCCAGTCCCAGAAGCAGTTAAAATATAATTTGCTTTGTTTTGGGCCCAACATTAAACAAGTTGATCACTTCAGCCCCTCCTCATAAAACTCATGTGCAGCAGAAGCCAACAGACCCAAGTGGCACTTTCCAGTCTGAGCAGAAGGCTCAGGGTTTCTCTCCATTGCTGGAGACTCTCCCATTTCTGCAGCTCTGCCTGGCAGAGATGGAATGGTTTAAGTGTGTGCTTGTTTTGTCCATTGCTTCTAAGTCACAATGTGACTTGCTTCCCTATCCAGCATGGGAATGTTTTCCTCTCCAGCTCCATAGACACCCCCAAAAACATCGTAACAGCAGCACACAACCCTCTTGCCTACCTTCCCCTGGATTTTCTTTCAGCTGCTCCTCATATTCTTGCATTGCTGACACACAACTGTTGTGGATGAGCTCCCCTAACCGTTTCAGATCAGCCACAGACTTATCCACCAGCTCAGCATCCCGAGCAATACACTCCAGTCTGGGAAAGGAGAAAAGCATTTTGTATTTGATACAGCTTATCTCTTCACAGTCACTTCCTAATCAATTGTTTCACAGCTTTTAGTACTCAATGCTGCACATGCAATGAAACATGCACGAGTTGAGCTCATGCAGGAAACAACCCAGTTTTATCTTTTCTTTAGGTCTAACAGCTGCAGTGCAGATGATCGAATCCCTTGGAATTTTTAGTATTAAAGCAAAGGTGAGAACTGTCTATCCTGGGGACAACAGGGACCCTCTGTGACTGACCCGTGTTCCCCCAGGCTTTCCCAGTTCTATATTAACTCCATGCAAAGGACAAAGCTGCCATCTGCTGTCCTTTCTGCCTGCCCCAAGTTAGTAACATCAAGACCCACATGCAAGCCTTGTGTTTCACAACAAAAGAGTACAACCAGCTGAAAAAACACTGTCATTCTCATACAATATACACAGGGATTGAGACCTCAGCAAGGGCTTTTCAGACCCAGCACATATGCCCCTCTCCCTTCCTCCCTCACTTCACGCTGGGTCACAGCACTCGGTAAAGGCTCTGCAGACCCACACTCGAGGACAGTGTGTGCCTCTTCTTGCTTCAAGAGCAGGGAGAGAAAGATGCTCAAAATTCAGTCTTGAGGCTGACATGCAGAGAGAAGCTTGGCAAGCATTTTGGGTAGCATTTTCTGTTCAGACAGCTGCTCCCTCTCCTCTCCAGGCAGAGTGGGAATGCCCCAAGGGCTGGACTCTGCCAGCAGGACGATGCTGTGTACAGCCCGGCGCCACGACTGCCCTAGCTGGGTTTTGGCCAGCATTCATCAGTGCCCATCAAGTGAGACACAAGGGACTGCACAGCAGTGCTTGGGTCCTGACAACATGACAGCAAGGTTTGTGCTGTCCATGGAGGTTGTATCAAACATCCACACACCAATGTGTGCCTGGCTGTGCTCAGAAATACAACGTCCCTCCATGATTCCCCTCTAGTCCCTCCCAGGCTGGGACTCACCGTTCAAGAGGCAATCCAAACTTCTTGTAAGCCTTGATAAACCTAAGGGAAAAAAAATAAAAAAACTAAACTAACTGCCATAAAAAGTATGTCCAGTATCACAAATACACTTGAATATATTCATTACAGCCTGTCACATTATCACCCTTGCATTCCCCACTGATTAGCTCAGCATCCCTCAGCACTGGGAAGCCTAATCCATTAGCCCCCACAAAGAGTTTTGTGACCTTGGCTGGAGAAGAGCACAACATTATTATGAATGTTGAGAGTTTGACAGATGAGACAAAAAAAAAAAAGAAGAAAGCTCTAACTGTAGTGTAAAAAAAATAGAAGAAAGCACTGGCTCACACCATGTTGGTAATTATTAACTTCATTTTTCCAAGAAGAAAAGAGGCATTAAATCAATGTCATTGGTAATTTTAAGACTCAGGCTGTAAATGTAGCAACCCATCACAGAAGAGCCAAATGTGGTTCAATCCATCACAGAGGTTAGCAAACAAGGTTTGTTACTTATTTTTATGTCTTATTTTTATTGTGAAAATCCCTGCCATGGCTAACACAACTTTAGGGCAAGAGTCAGACACTGTTGCTGCAATCAAATAATGTCTTGTGCTGGGATTAGACCCAATGGCTGCAACTAGACATTGTTTTTTAAATTAGTTACTTTTTTGCCTACTTTTTTCAACTTGCGCTCTTTCAGCCTCTTTTTGCTACATCACAAGAACCTGCTACATTTCATATCCCAACACATCCTTCCTGCTCCGTGGCTTCAGACTGGATATGGGGCAGCAACCACAGTCCAAAATCTCTGCTATCTCCTGCTTAAAACTACACCAACTCAGAGATAGTCTGGGAAAACTCACAACCCCTTCTTTTCCATCTTTGGTTGAACATCTGGCCAGAGCAGTAAGACAAAGATCTTTGGGAAAGACTCAAGAATTGGAAGTTGTGAGAAGAAAATAACACTCTGGAATTCAGCCCCCAGCTGACTTTAGGGACTGACACACAACCACTTGGATCAACAGGACCAGTGCTTCTCATGGGGTCATTTTGCCAAAGCCTGCCTTTCACTTAGAGCTTAAATCAGCAGGATGACTGCCAGAAAAATGTCAGGAAGGCCAAAGCCCTTGGCTTCTCCAGCTCTGTATCTCATGGCACCTAAGACCTCACATGTAATATGGAATTAACTCAATTCACTTGGCCCAGGAAGGGCAGTTACAACAAGGATTAATTTTAGGAATGCACCATCTTTGCTGTAGCCTGACTGAAGACAATCCAGTCCATTTTGCACTGACTTGGATGTTAAGGTCATCAGCTGGGACCAAACTGGATTATGTAACAGTGCAGAAACTGTCCCAATGTACCAGCTCTGCCTAAACTGCTGACGTGCTTACAGGTGAACACTTCCTGGATTAATCTGGGATTTTCTCCACCTGAATGGGATTTCTATATTTGTTTTCTGAACTGCCTCTTGTGCTCAGCACTGACCTCCTGATTTCAGCATCAGTAAATCCTTCCACAGTATCTTTTCTAACACTCCGAGGCCGTCCCCTGCGCTTTGGTCTCTTCTCGTCATCGGTGTCGTCAGTCTCGCTTTCTGATCCAGATGATCTCTGAAGCCTTCTCTTAGTTTCTGCATCTGATTCACTGTCATTTGTCTGAGCCTGTAGGACCAAAAAACCACAGCAGAGTTAACAACTGCTAATCTAATCAACTAGCAACCTTTTCTGTCCCTCTGTGCACTGGTACTTTCTAATGGACTGTAAAACACTTTGGCATCCATTCCTGGAGATGCAGGAGTCCATGCAACCCACCCAGAGAAGCTGCATACCCTTGCAGTTCCCAGCTGGCTGAGGCTCTGATGGCCACCCTTCCTCTACAACCAGCAGTTTCACACTGCATTTTGGTTTACTAAGGTATAAGAGATACTAAAACACACCGTTTTCTGTGGGTTTGTGCCACACTCCCTTAGACTATTTTGAAAACCAGGACACATCAGAAATTAATCTGGATTCATCCAACATGAATTATCTTTCTGTCTAGCTTTCACATCAGTGTTTTTCCCCAGCTCATCCCAGAGAACAGTTCATAATCCCTTAAAGTCCCATATCCCAGAAGAGCTTTCTTGCATAGTCTGCTTTCTGTTGGATGGGGGTAGATCCCATCACCTGAAGAAGAGCTTGGGAAGGCACCATCTCTTTTGTCTCTCAAGATCCACATTTAGTTAAGAGCAGTCCAGGGAGCTAGAGAGCTCAAGGAAAAGAAAGAGCCAGAAAATTGCATCATCTGCCATAAAATCTAATAGAGTTGGATATTTAGCCCTGGCTAACTACAGGTTGTCTTTAATTTTGATTGTCACGACAAGATGAGTTGTATCAGATCCAGTCTGGGTCCTCACACTGCTTCCCAAACCATGGGCCCAATGCACAATGCCAACGAGAGGTCAATGTGCTACCTCTGTGCTTTATTCCCAACCAACTCTGGAGGAAGGAAAGAAGCTCAGATGGCAGCTCCCTGGAGTGTTGCCTTTGCCAGCTCTTGCCTCTTGCCTCAGCTCCTCGAGGTGGGCTGTACCTTTTTAGTCGAGCTCCGGATTCGAGGCAGCATGTAGATTTCCTCCAACTCTTTCTGCCTTTCTTCCTCCTCCACCTTTTTCCTCTGCTCCTCTGGAATAATATCATCCCAGTCCTTTTGGGACCGCTCGTCCAGCTCTGTCTCCTCCTCTTCCATGGTTGCAAAGTTGGCGACCTTTTACAAGCAAAGGAACACTTTTAGCAATTCCCTCCCCTGGCAGGAACACTCCAGAGCTGTCTGCTAAGCCTCAACTCCTTCCCCGTAGGAATTCTGCCAACACTTCCATAACTACTTCATAATTGATCCCTATGTCTCTGCATTCCTGGTTCCATGCCATGTCTTTGACTAACAGCTTTTGAGGAAGTACGTGCAGTTTAAGAAGTACTGTTGAGCCTTTGTAAATTACTGGGTTTGTTTCCAAATTTGGTAAATTCTTTATTTGATTCACAGCCTTCAAAACCACTTGATATTACATGAATACCTACATCAGGAGGCTTGGAACTAGATGATCTTTAAGGGTCCTCCCAACCCAAACCATTCTATGACCTCTCTGAGGTGTTCCTGCCTGTTACTGACCTTACCACTGTGGCAGGATGTGGGGAGCCACATTCCCACACTCCACTACAAAGCCTGGGGGTCCATACCTTGAACTGGGAGAGGAGCTCGTCAGTGGCACTGGTGGACACTTCATTCTCCCGTGTTTCAGCCAGACGCAGGATCTCATCGATGTCCATCTCCTACCAGTCAGAGAGAAGGAAGGATAAAGCAGAGTGTGCCGAGCACAGCGGGAAGTAAGAGGCTTTGAGAACAGACTCATGTGCTGATATGAGCTAAATAAAGTGCAAATATCTGCAGGGTGTCAACCCCGAGGGCAGGGATGAACTATCTCAAGTGGTACAACACAGTATAAATAAGGTGACAGAACAGAAGAAAAGGACCCTCAAGGCTGAGCAGTGGGGAAAATTTCCAGACAGTGAGATATATGAACTGTGGACTGTTTCCCTTGGGGCAGTTCTGCTGCTTGGGCCATTAGAGAATTGGTTAAAGCACTCAGTACTAAACTGTCAAGCAATGCTGTGCTGAGGCAGGAGAGAGTGACCTATTCACTTCACTGTGCTGACTCCTGCCTCTCTCTGAGACAGGAGGCATCTCACCAAAAAAGGATGCTGAACAAGTGCTCAGAAGAGGCAGGGAGAGGAGCTCTCAGCAGCCTGTGCTAATGAATCCTCAGGAGCCAAGAGACTCCTTCAGTGACCATTACTATTCAACCCCCAACAATAAGGCACTCCTTAACCCCTTGATCCCCCAACCCCAGAGCTCTTTCTTCAGCTTCTCCAGACTCACACATGCCCTATTCACCAACCTGCTCTCATGCACAGGGCAAGTACAAAGTGGGAGCAAGCACACACAGTCCCTCGTGCAGACCTGCACAGGACTACAAACTGCTATGTGATTTCAATTTCAAACTACCTGAGGCTCTGACTCTTCCCCTTCAAGTTCTTTGAAGAGATCTTCAGCTCCAAACTTCAGAATAGCTGTCAGCTCCTCTTTGTTGAAAGGATTTGAGCTGCAAGAACAAATGAGAACGAAAAGGTGTTTTGAGCTGCTCAGTAAGCACAAAACCATACCAAAGTTTATCCTATTTGAAGCAAGAAGTAAGTTTTCTACCCAGCACTATAAAAATCTTTTTCACTCATCTCTTTCCTGCTCCAGCATGGACAATAACTGTAAGGGGAATCACCTCCACCTACTGGGGGGGAATGGGGAGAGTCTGAGGTCACTGTCAAAGTGTAGCTAGCTGTTCCATGACCATTACCAGGTTCCCTCAGACCAGGATAATTTCTGGCTGGGTGGAAGACAGAAGGAAAAGCAAGCAATGCATTAAAACTAGGGTTTAATTTCTGATCATCTTTATCCTACTGTCCAAATTAATGGCTGCATAAGCCAAATCAGTGGAAGCTCCTTTATTTATTAACCTTCCATCCTGTCTCCTGTCAAATAAGTATTGGGAAACACAAGCAGGTGAAGCTGGTTACGCCCCATGCTGTACCAGACAGCTCTGCCTCCCGACACAGTCACATACTTGGACCTCCCAGAGTTGTTGTCCAGAACAGTGCGGCCAGTGGTGTCCATGCGCTGGATAACCAAATGATCCAGCACCATTTTCTTCTTGGCTCTCTCAATGATCTCCTCTTCCACTGTCCCCTTTGTGACCAGGCGGTAAATATTCACCTGAGGGGCAAAAAGTGAACAGAGCTATTTCCTGCACCTGAACATGCTCTGCTGACACAGCAATGCATCCCTCAGCTGCTCCACAGGAGACTGGTCTGCTGACATTGTCTCTTCAGGTAGAGATGTGGTTTTTCAGAATAAAAACAAGCACATTCTCTTTATGCCTCAGGGGACCCAGTTAAAATCAGGCTGGTTAACACAGATGTGCCTAAGCACTGAGTAAAAACCTTCTGAAACAATCACTCTAAATTCAAACTAGCACCAAACTTTCTACATACCTAATAAAGCCCTAGTAAAGGTGGATGTTCTACTTTCTAAGCTTTTTGGGGCAAGAAAGAACAGAGCCCACTAGGCTGAGAAGTGCAATGCCACAGGTTGGGTTCTTGGGTTTGAACTATCCCAGAACCCAAAGCCAAGAGAAAGATCTGGCATCTGGCAAATTTGGACTGACTTTTTGTGTCTTAGTTTTCAAATGAACTTCCCATGGGTTGGCAGCACTCTCTGGAGTCAGGACTGGGGACAAAACCACCTGTTTTCAGAAGCTCTGCTGAGCTGGAAGCCTGTTTAGATGCTCCCATTGAAGCCACAGAGAAAATGATCCAAGCAATTCTTCTGACCTGCTTCTTTTGTCCAATGCGGTGAGCTCGGGCCTGAGCCTGGAGATCATTTTGGGGGTTCCAGTCTGAGTCAAAGATAACAACAGTATCAGCAGAGGCCAAATTAATTCCCAGCCCTCCAGCTCGTGTTGACAACAAGAAACAGAAGTCCTGGGGGGGAAAAAAGAAAGGCATCCATGAGTTAGCCAGCCTGTAACTGTGGCCATGAAATAGCAGTGGTGACTCAAAAGCTGCACAAGGCAATGGAGGGCTCTGCTGCTCTCCTGCTTCTTAAGGCAGAAAAAGGTTTTCCTTCTCACACACCCTACTCACACAGGCTAAGCACCACTGGTCTTTAAACTAAGACACAAAGTGAGGCAGTGCTGGCAGGGCTGAAAGATGTGCTATTCCAGGTATGCATCGATATGGGAGAGCAATGTAAGCAGCTAAGGGCAAGGGCACCTTGGAGGAGTCACTGTTGAAGGTCAGACCACACTGCCCACCAGACTCCTACAAAGGCAGCAGACAAATACCTGCTTTTGGTTCCTGAATCCTGCTGGGAGTGAGATCAGCAACTAACAGACTGAGTCACTGCCTAAGAGCACAGGGTGCCAGGTTAGAGCTAAGATGCCTGAGCCCCCATGATGTCCTCAGGAGAGGGGAAAGGGCAGGTTCTATGGCCATCCTTGCTCCTTTTCCACTTGCACTGCTGTCTCTTTCTCACTTTCAGTTGTTAACTTTCCCATGACCATGAACATCTAACTATATCTCCTGTGTCAGCCAAGAATTCCCCTCCAGCCCAGGCTTCTGGAGTGAGGAAAGGTATTTCTCACAGCTGGGCTGACTGTGGCACAAAACAAGTGCCTTGCACCAGTCACTGTGAGTCAGCAAGGCCCGATGAGAGGTTTGAAATATCCTCTCCTGTTACACTGGACACTTCCACCTCCGACACCAAACTCCACTGCCTGCCAACACTTAAAATCCCCTTTTTGCCTCTGCCATTTCATATTCAAAACCAGCTTCAGACTGGAATAACTTAGCAACCACCTCATACTCCAGACCATAGGGAGAGAATTGCTAAATAAACTCCTAAAAGAGGCTCTTCGCAGCCTCTCTGGGACTTTCTGGAGATGTGACTTACAGCACTATGCTTGGATGTGGGAGATTGAAAACCAGCAGTAAGGCTAGTGGCAAAACCTGCTATATCTGTGTCTTTCAAAGTATCTGGGGTCCTGTAAAAAGAAATGCACTGAACTAATCCCCTCTTGGCAGTCACACCCTGTGGCTCAGGCACAACACCCACTGCCTGGGCAGCCCACCCAGACCCTCCTGAGGCAGGACTGTGGTACCTCGGAGCCGTCAGCGTTGAAGTGGTCGAGCGCCTGTTTTCGGATCTCCCCCTTGATCGAGCCGTCCAAGCGCTGGAAAAATCAACAATAATGATAAAAGAAAGAAGGTAAAGGAGCCCTGAGGAACTGCTGCACCCAAGTTCTGTGAGCCCCACAGCCCCCTTTGCTGTCTGCAGCATTTAATTGTTAAAAATAGCTGCCAATTAAAAATAACTGCACTGCCTCAGCTGTGTCACAAGGGCAGGGGGATGCTTGAGGAACAGCCACACAGCGGGTGACACCACAGCTCTCATTACAGGCTCCCAGCCAGGCTCTCTGTGTTCACTGCTCTCTCCTCAGGGTTTAGCACAGGGCACAGCCCAAAGCAGGGGCCTGTCAGAGGACTTTTGCAGTGATGGGGCCACACTGAAATGAAGGGACATCCCTGTTCCCTCCAGTAAGTGCAACTTGTAATCCCAGCCACCAGTCTCTGGGAAACTCAGTGACTCCCATTGCCCAGGCTCCCTCTGCATTTTCTGAATCATAGAATCACAGAATCATAGAATTTTAGGGGTTTGGAATGGACCTCAAAGATCATCTAGTCCCAACCCCCTGCCCTGGACAGGGACACCTCCCACCAGACCAGGTTCTCAAGGCCTCACCCAGCCTGGCTTTGAACACTGCCAGGGTTGGGACAGCCACCACTTCCCTGGGCAACCTGTGTCAGTGTCTCACCACCCTCACAGGGAAAAACCTTTTCCTAATATCCAGCCTAAATTCTCAAGGGAAACCCACTGTTTTCCATGCTGATGTTTCTCACCTGAAAAGGGTAGTGTTTGATAGTCAGATACTCTGCCAAGATGTCCAGCATCCTCACCATCTGGGAGAAGATCAGCACTCTGTTGCCTCTCTCCCGCAGCCTGGTCAGCAGTTTGTCCAAGAGAATTAGCTTTCCACTGCTCCTGATCAGAGACTGAAGAAATAACCATCATTCAGGCTGATGCTTTCCAGTATTACCTTTATGCACATTACACAGAGACATGAAGAGATCTGGTTCTTTTGGGGTCATCCATCTCTCATACATCTCTAATCAAATCACCTAGATTTACCCAGCAGAGGCCACACACAAAATGAATCATCCAAGATAGATCTTACACTGCCTGCAACTTCTACTCCAGATGGCCACAAAATGTTGCCTCCAGTGAAAGCAGAGAGCTGGGGGTTCAAGTGGCTTAGCTGGAAGGATTGTTTCTAAAGGAGAAGCCACAGGACCAGAAGTTTCACTAGATCTTATATTGTTGGAAGGACAGAAGAAAGAGGAAAGTTAAGGAAAAAAGGTGATAACCAAGGACATTGCCCACCTGCAGGGTCTCAAGGCCATTCTCTCTCTCGTTTTCCTCAGGAGGTTTGATAAGGTAGCAGTGGTTGCAGCACTTTTTCAATTCCATCACAATGTTTAGGAAACCAGATGTGCTACCCCTTGTTCCCTTTGAAAGAGCTTTGTAGTTTCTTGTCAAAATCCACCTGCATCAGGAAAATGAAAGTCCACATCACTTGTCAGTGCAGAGTGGAGTCTTGGAAGAACAAAATCTCCAGAGACATCACATTCAAGAGTCTACTTCCCTCCCTCCATCTCTCTTCACTTCTTTCACAGGATGCTGTTGTTTCCTCACTAGCAACCCTGACCTTACTTTCCTGTCGATATTATTACAGTTTAATATTGAACAGCATCACAATTTTGTGCAGATCTTTCCTGCTCCAGGAAGAACATAGCCTCTGTCCTGCAAAGCTGGTCAGCTGAACTGTATCACTCTACAAACACAACTCCAGTGGTCTGGAGATGCTTTTTAGAAGGGAAAATACCAACTACTCTACCTCAGATTCCTACTGGGAAGCTCCTGGTACAACAGGTGATGACTGTCACATTCACTCTGAAGGACACAGCATGGTGAAACACATTTCTAAGGCACATAGAAAGATGTGCCCATTTCTACTGGCACACCCAGTAACTTATTACATGACTCACTTGTAATACTGTTTCTGCAGAGCAGACATTTCCACCCGGAGGATCTGCTCCACTTTGGCTGGCAAAGATTTCTCCACATCCTTCTTCACTCTGCGTAGGAGAAATGGCTCCAGGACTTTGTGAAGGCTCTGGTAGCCATTCTCTCTACCTTTCCCATGATCCTCTTCAAAATCCTCCCAGAACTCAAACCTAGCAAGAGAAATGAGGAGCAG